CAATTTGTTCTCGTCAATGGTCACACTTCTAAGAGGAGCGTGTGTCCCTATCAGCATGTTAATTGATGGCCCTGATGCTGAGCCCAATGCTGCCTGCAGACGGGCTATGTTGGTCACTAGGGGTTGGAGATCTCTGGCGTTTTCCGCTATGTCGTCTGCAAAGTCAAGGTCGGCAAACTTTGTCTCTGGAACCCACTTTACCCCCCTTTTCTCCTGTTGCTTCCCAAGTACCCAGTCGATAGCCACGGGAAAGAGGATCTGTGACAGGACACAACCTTGGAGGATCCGTCTTCAAACCACCAGCTGTATCTAGATTCCTTCAACCGTCCGTACACAACACTTCGAGTTTCAGTATATCTGTTTAACTGCATACATAAGTTTACTTGGCAGTCCATAACTGTACACGATAAAGAGGGACTTTAGATGCTATCAAACGCCTTGCAGAAATAAAGGAATCTGATAGCTAGCTAAAGGGGTTTGCAGTTCAGCACATTTCCTCCACCGCAGGGTGAAGATCTGCTCAGCACAGGATCTCTTTGAGCGAAAGCTAGCTTGTTGCTCGCAGCTCCCAGAAGACCTTGCCTACTGCATCTCTCATGCGGTTCAGGAGGCATTTGGCATACACCTTCACTTGTATAAAAAAAAATTGTCACTCCCCTTAAGTTATCACATTCATTCAGGTTTCCCTTCTTTGGAATACACACTTTAAGCCTAATGGTATGGTCACAATTCAAGAAAGGGGCCCGCTCGGCTCGTTTTTGGCCTGTGTTTTGGCACTACCGAATTCGGAACGGGACCTGGAAGGCAATGGGCGGGGTTCACGACGGCTGCCGGCCTATTTTTTTGGTCCCGCGACGTCGCCAAATTGATTTGACTCAACTTAAAGTCACTTCAGGCCCCGGCGGGCAAGGTACGCCGAAGCGACCCCGTAACCTCACCGGACCAAACCGTAACCTAGCCGCCGGGTCATGCACAGGCACCTGTCCAAGATTATGAAGTCACGTGTGTTGTTCTGTGCTTGAATTGTTCAGAAGAAGGTAGTTATAGACAATATAGAGGGTAATGTGCTGTTCTCGACATAGTTACATCATCAGTCAGTCATAGTGACCATACACGGGTCTGCGCATCAACCAGACAGGGCCGAACCCACCATAGGCGTACCAGCCTGGGACCTGCCAGGATCGCCCCTTGACCCCGCCAGGGACCCTGTAGCTGCCCGGCCGGAATGCAAGAGCTAGTCGGCACCCTATTGCATCCCGCACAGGTCTGACAGAAGACTGACTGGGCACCGGACGGGTCCCCAACAGAAACCGGTCGTCAAGGGGACCAAAATTTTGTGAATTTTACATAGAAGCCGCCTCAGCGCCCCGACAGGGAGCCGTAAAGGAAATTCAATTGTGACCCTGACAGCCGGCGTACGCTCGGCTTCATGACGCCGGCCGGCGTCTACACCGAGAACATGCCGAGCACGGCCCCGTTTCACATGTGACTCCAGCTGAACTACTGATCCGTTCTTCCAGTCCTCCAGCACTTCCCTGTGATCGCCGTTGAATGCCAGCTTTATTCCAGGGAAGGCGTACTAGGGAAGACGGCTATGGTTCTATTAAAGCGTTTGCGATGTACGGCGATCAGAAAAGCATCCATCTCACAACACAGTCACCCTCGGCTTTCAGCATCTCTGAAGTGATGCCATTCATGCCTGGTGACTGACTGGTAGTTCCCGGGCTGTTTTTGACACTTTCAGGCGTGGGACACCCCGCGGCTACCGGGCTATTTTTTTTGGCCTGTCCGGGAATCATGAAGAATTCAACTCCGACTTCAGGACGTCAAGTTAGCGCTTTATTCTGCCTGTACAGAGACGCTGGTAAGGCACAGGTGTGGGCTTATGAAGGGTCTTATATTTTTTTGAACAGATTGTATCATTTATTAACATTCCTATCAGTGTTCAGAGGTACAGGCGCCCATGCTATATACTGGTTAGTTTTTGCATACATAATTTGCATTAAATTTTGGTGTGATCAATACTGGGATGGTTTATTCTAAATATCTAGCCTCAAAACATGTGTATAGTACAAATGTATGTGTATTGTATCAAAAGTATTGTTGATACCATGAGATTTATTGAGATATTGACGAAAAACAGATTTTCAGTAATGGCGGCCTAAATTTTCAAATTAAGCACAAAAATATCTATTTGATCTCCACTGAAATGGCCTATCCTCAATAGTTATTCCAAAAAACATGGGGAAAGACACCAAAGATATTATAATATCATATGTAGTTACTGAGATATTGACGGAAAACAGATTTTCAGTAATGGCCACCTTGATTTGCCTAAAGTGCGGCTTTAATTTGCATATTCAGCACAAAAAAACTGGTTTGATCTTTACTGAAATGGCTTAATTCCATTCGTTATCCCTCAAAACATGGGGATAGACACCAAAATTAATTCTGATACCATGAGTAGTTCCTGAGATATTGACGGAAAACAGATTTTCAGTAAGTGCCGCCTAACTTTAGCATATTGCG